AAAGGCGTTTCTGGTCCCAAAAGGCGTTTCTGGTCCCCACCTGTCGTTTTGCTCCTCAGCATGGCTTCCTAAAAACGCTGCAGGATTTCTCAAACATGCATGAATGAGTCAAAGCAAGGCTTTGGGTATTTTTTTTATGAGAGTATAACATTATAGCATGATATAAAACTCAAAGAAGTTGATTTTACATGATATTGCCCTTTTAATATAAATTTGGAGGCAGAGTATCAAAAGGACATCCCATCAACTGGGCAAGCTGATCAAAAGAAACTTCCAGTCTGTTTAGGAAAATGTGAATGTTTCTATTACACACTAACCCCCTCCTCCCAAAAAATACTATATCCAAACTATAACAGAATTAAAAATTAAGGTATTTCATTTTCAGCACCATTTCCACAATGCTGCTACCTCAAGTCTTCACTGTCACACATTTATTTCTGCTTGGTGTTGGGAACAACAGGTTTTATCACTTTAACGAAAACCCACCAACAAAACTAGTGGGTTGGATTCCACATTATTCCAAGAAAGAAAAAAAAAAGCTGTGTGAGATTCATTTACATTTGGATGAGGTGAGAGCAGAGTGATACTAATTGTGTGTTTTGTTTACATTGTTTGGTATCGATTGAAAAGGAACTTTTTCCTCTTGGTTTTTCGTTTCAGACAAGAACTGGGTGCTGGCTGTATTTGATTGTAGTTTACTGTGAAACTGAACAGACAGAGCCACTCATGAGCCAATAACTGTAATATACTTGTAACACTGTATATTGGCAGACACAGCATTTTTTAAATAACAAAAAAAAAATCACATCTGTTAGAATGATTGATTCAGCCATTAAAGCTTGATGATGCATCCACAGAAATGAATTTAAGCAAACTAGAGTTCAAAACAGTCAAAAACAATCCATGACTGGCAGTCAGACTTGACTTTCATGCAGTGGGGGTTTTTATTTAGTTTATGACATAGAAGTAATTAAAAATAAATATTTTAATATTTTCTCATTTTGGGAAAAGTCAAAATTTTCACTATGTATCATCTTTAAAAATAAGAATTATTGCATGCATTCAACATCAACAGTTGATTAGAGGTCAGATGTGAGATTAAGTCATGTTCCAGAAACTTAAGAAAAAACAAAAAGCTAAAGAATTAAAAGCACATGAATGAAGAAAGCGCCAGCAAACCACGATGAAAGGAGAGAAACAAAAGTAATAAACAAAATACAATGTGGCATAAAAAAAGAACACTTAAGGGTTTATTTTCGTGACTTTGTTGCAGTGGTAAATTTAGACGTTGGCATTTTCTCTACTTTGTACTGCAATTATGAAGTGTGGGAACATTATGTGCAAAATGGTAATGAGTTCTTGTTCCACATTACTGCCTCCTGGTCGTCGTTATGTTAAACATAGCTAAGTCTGCCATCAGATTTTAACACAAATGAACACCCAACAAAATAACGTGTTGGAGGGGGAAAAAAACAGGAATATTGGTGCTACCAACCCCAGAGGACTGGTGAGGTCGACTTTTTGTACTGCAGACCATCTTATAACCTAACAGCAGATAATGATTTCCTTTGCATGTAATCAAGGCAGCATTGAGATACAAAAAGTGATAGAAAAGAAAATGAGATGGCAAGGTAAGTGACAGTGTGCGTCACTGAATGACAGACACTGACGCAGACGGTGAGTAGCAGAGAAAGCAAAGCCAGGTCCAGCTCAAGGGAGACGTTTAAGAGCTGTGCTTGTGACAAAGACGGTCATAACTCATTCCGTGCATCCGCCGTGGTTTATGGAGTGGGACAGAAACTCGTTGACAGAGGGTACAGCACCCCCTCCAATAACACAAAAACACTGGCCCATGTCCTGGGCTGCTGTACGCTGCTGACTGGGCACTTTGGGCCTGCTCAACTTTTCAACAAAAGCCCTGTTGTCTCCCTCTCTCTTGCTCCCTCTTCCTATCACCCTCCTTTGTCTTTCTGACGAGTCCTTTTATTTAAGCGTGCGGAGAAATGAAACCGCTCAATGGGCGTTGGGACATACAGCAAGTCGTAGTAAAGATAGAGAGAACAGCTGGTGAGTCAGAGGAAAGGATAATAAAACACTGGATTAAAGATCAGAAAGCAAATCATCATTTTGGAAGATGAAAAAAAAGCAGGGTGTAAAAGGCGGTCGTGTGGACCTTTTTACTACTCTTTTCATTCGTGGAAAATACTACCCAGGTTGTGCCAAGACTTGAGCACACAAGCCAAGGCATGAAAACGGTTTCATTCATCAAACTTTATTTATTCCATGTGAAAACTTTGACACTAACTTCTATCAAAACACAGCCGAGCCAAAACTTCAGATTAGATCTTTTTTCCTTAGAAAGTGTACAGATTCACAAAACAGACTAAGTAATGACTGATTTGTTTTCATGTCCTCCACAGATTCATATGCTGCAGTTTGCCAACAAAAACACTAATAATTTACAGGAGCTGAGCTTTAAACATCCAGTATTTATGGGTTCATCTGCTTGTTTTCTCCTTGGGTGAGACAAACGTGTCTCTGGATGATTTCACATGTGCATGTCGTCGGAGGCTCAGCTGGCACAGGAGATGCATCGGAGAACAAGAGCGGGCAGGCAGCGCGAGGCGAGCAGAGGACAAGCTGAGAGCAGGTTGCTATATCTGCAAGGCTCAAAGATTTCCTCTCTTCACACACACACCCTGCCATGTTCACAAACACACCACGGATCGGAGGATTTCATCCCTCCTGAGAGATTTCCACCTGCTTCTGCGCCGGAAGGTACACCTTGAGCGGCTTGTCATCTGTTTCTCACATGAGTGGTGACAACATGATTATCATGTCACCCAAATTGCAATATTAAAAACACAATAAAGATGTTGTTGGTGAAAATCACAACACTTCGCTACAAAAAGCCAGAAACACAGGTCCTAAACCACTGACTGACAAGCCAGATTTAATCCTCGCTCTCCCACAAATATGAGACATGTCAACTTCGAGGCCCGGTGCTACAAACAGAATAAAAAGGTGTGTGTGTGAAAGAAACTCAAAGCCACACTGCCAAGCATTATTCTGCAGCAGCAACACTCAATACAAGGAAGTAATAAAGCTTAAGGAAGCATTAATGATCTTGTCAGCAAGAAACCAACTCAGCACTACCTGCAAATGTCTACTTTAGAGCCATGGCACCCTTGGGAACAGTAAACAAAAGATGCAGCTTTTAAACGGGGGTGGGGGATTAAAGACTTCATTATGAATTTTCAAAACTACAGACAAGCTGGTTTTATACTGGAAACAACAACAAATCTAAAAAGAGACACTACTCCGCCATCTCCTCCCTACTTTGGATCTGGAGGCTCATCCTGCATTCAAACCCCTCGGGGCATGACGCCAGTTGTGAGAAAGCCACTTTACTGGCTTTAGTCATTGAGACAAAGCAAAACAGGCAAAACTAGACATGGCTTTTACACTTGGTTGGCCTTTTGTCTCGGTGAAACAACAAAAACCAGCGAGGTGAAGGATGTTGCTCGGAGGAAGGGGGGGGGG